TCTCCCCAAAACCCCAAAACCCCAAAACCCCTTGCTAAATAAATCAGATTAAAATAAAAGATTAAAATAATATCTTAATCTAAAAACATGGAAGAATCAAAATTGCAGGAAGTAATGGGCAGAATAGAAGATTTCTATTTCAGCGATGAAGAAGACTCAGGAGAGGCTATTTTTAATAGATTTGCTGAGAAACATGCTCATTTGTTTGAGGCTGGGTTTGAAGCTAAAGCTACAGAAAACAAATTAGAGTAAATAATCAAATTTCTTTAATTTCTTTCTTGCCAGATATACACAAGTTTATCAAGAATATCAAGAACTCTTTGAAAGCAAAATAGAAGGTAAATATAAATAGCTTAAGAGCAAAATTGATTTTAGAATTGATTAAAGACTCAGGTGTATCAGTAGAATAATTTTTTGAAATCTTGAAATAGGTATGAATACATTTAAGTGGTAATAACTTTATTTACAGAAAAGCGAGACTGATGAAGAAGCACAAATCTTTGTATAGATTATGCTTTCAGTTAGTGAATATGAAAACTTCGTTGAGATGATGAGAGCCTACAAAAAGGAGCATAATAAATGAGTCCAAAGACATTGCAAAGCCAAATCTGTCTAGTGTGATCATAAGCGTGATTCCAATATAGATAATTACTAAGTTTTATATGAGTATTTTTCAAAGTCCTACTTTACATATATATATAAATTAGTTTCGTGCTTTAATGCCAATCTTACAGAATAATATCACTTTAAGCAACTGATTTATTATTAAATTATACTATTTTTAAAATGAATGTAATTAATGCCTCGGTGAATCAGCAAAATTATCAAAATAACCATAACCACTAGAATGAAAATCAACGCTTGCTAGATAATTCTGTTTCAAGAAACTCAAATGAAACATCATAAAGATCAGATGGCTATTAGAAGAAGAATACTTAGAAGTATAGAGATCGTGGAGAGCTTATGAAAGCGCTTAAATTTCCTGAAAATAGTGCCAATTTGGTAGTAATTCCTTCAAATGAAAAAGGTACAGGCTTCTTAAGGACATGTTATGATCCAGAAGTGCTAGATGGTACAATGAGTAAGGATGAATTTATGAAAGTTATTGATCAAGCAAGCAAGGAGGTAGCTAAGGTTTATTCTAAAAAGAGATTGGCAGACACTGCAGATATAGATAGCTATAAAATGTGGTTCAGCTTTTTATCATTTATAATGGCTCTCTTATTTCTTGGGATGATATATATAGGAATAGATTATGAAATATTCTATCTACAATTAGCTGCTTATTGCATTATGGCATTTGCGATGATAATAATAGTTACACTTTCTCTTTACGAGTGTTTCAGAGACTCTACTAAAAAATTCATTAACTTTAATTAGTCGGTGAAAAAGTCACTCGATACTTATTTTGGAGAAGTTAATTTATAGATGCAAGCAATAGGAATTGAATGGTCTGTAGAAGAAGGCCATTACTGGATTGAATGTAAAATTATTAAAGACTTTGACAGAATGAGGACAACTCCTACATAAAACTATTTTACCTAAGAAAACCTTATTACTGATAACGGGAGAAGTGACATGAATTAAATTCAAGATGCAAGAAATCTCTAATTAGGGTTGAAGCTTTACAGTAGAGGATCAGAGCCTGAAAAGGAGGATTAACTTATCCCAGGTATTCATAGTAAAAAAGTGGATCAAGATCAATTCATTACAGCTGGAGAGGGTAAAAGAATAACAAATCTTGCAAATCAGCCCTAAAAGAGAAGCAGGGAGTTGCCTTCAGAAAAAATAAAATAGAAACAAAATAATTGGGGTGCAGATGATATCCATTATTGAATTCAAACTTCTCTAGCTTGACCACAGCTAATAGATTGAGCAAGTGGCCAGTTAAGATTTTGTAGATTTGTTGATAAATTTAATGTAAATATAAATAAAAATCAGGTTTAATTGCTACTTAAGTGTTTTGAAGTTACCTTGTTAATAATTTAAATTTAAACTAATTTATTTCCAAACAACATTACTTTCAAATCACTCACTCTACTTTAAAATGCTGAAAGAACTATAAATTCAAGAGGATTTCAATTGCCCCAATGAATTCAACTAATTCGAGTATGGAGCTTAAAAGCTAACTTACTAATTCAACAAATTTCTGGTCGAAAATAAGGAGAATATAGAGCCTTTTGGGGGAAATAAACGAAAGTCTTAAAAGAAAATTAGCAGCAATATTCCCTCCATTCAAAAATTTGAATTTGACTCAGAGTAATCTACCACTCAATATACCTTACAATACTCTCAAAAGAAAAGAGAGCCATTCGCTCCAATATCCGTAAGAATGATCAGATGAACGAGAAAACTATGAAAAATAAACTTTAACTTTAAGAGATCAGAAAAATTTGAACATCTCGAAATCGATTTGCTCAATATTTGCTATCTCACTTGTAATATACCCGATATATATATATATATGACTTATAATCTCATTAATTAAATGTAAATAGTTAATATTCAAATTCAAGTTTTAAATCTGGGGTTTTGGGGTTTTGGGGTTTTGGGGAGATCGGAAGAGCGTCGTGTAGG